ACATTAGGGATTAGGATTTCAATGTATAAATTTGGGGGAGGAGGAACAAACATTCAAGTCATAACAATATTTTGACTTGGAATGCAATGCATCCTAAAACCGAAGCAAATAACTAAACTGCTATATGTTTAACATATGAAACAGTGGATGGTATACGGCAAGACATAATCAGGTAGCATAAAAAATGCCATGGGGTTATGGTAAAGGTGACATTTCTGTGGGCTCCAGTATTGGGGAAAGACTCCACAGATGTTTCGAGATCTAAGTTTGGCCTTGAACGAAGGATAAGATCTGGATTTGGGGGAGTGTAGGAAAGAGAGTGGCAGGACTGTGTTGAATCTGAAAGTGTCCACTGATAGCCCCGGTTGGTTCAGCCTTACTCCATTTTGGTGAGGGGGAAGATGCATTTCTTTGCATTCTAAATTCTAACCAGGACCTTCAGGCCTGGTTTGGGTGTGGGAAGACTGGTGTTTAGAGACTAATAAGCAGAACTGGGGAGCTCTGGGTTTTCTGCAGCAGAGGAACAGGTGGGAGGAAAGATGTCTTACAGAGAGGGGCCACTAACAGACTGGCTGGTTTCAGGGTATGGGAATCGTTGGTTGGAGTGAGTTAGCTTCCTGTCAGCTCTCAACAAATGACGACAGGCATTGTTTTATAGGCAGAGCCATGATTAGAATAAGGCAAAGGAAATTCAGAGGGACCGAAAATTCAGAGGGAATTAAAATCCAGATCAAGAAGCACATTCCTTGTCTTAGGGGTAGGGTTGAGGAGCTCGCGGTTGCCAGTTTCTGTGATGTAGGGATTTGTGTTTTAGAATCCACATGGGGTTAGACAGTGAGTGTTTGGCCTAAATAAGGAGGGAGGATGAGTTAGACCTGAGATTCTTGAATAAAAGCAAGACCTTTGAAGGGCCATACTGTCAATAAAAGGACGAAGTAGGAGAATAATCCACAGGTACAGAGAGGCAACAAGAGAGACTAGACTGCCTGTCATGGGTGGAAAAACTTCCTGAGAATTTTTAATGACAAGCCTATGCTTCCTGTTGACTGGGGGTTTGAATTCGTGCCATCAGCTAAGAAATTAACATAAAAATTTGTCTGGAGCCAGTAATACCATGGCAACGGAAAGCGCCATGGAGGGCAAGTCCTTAAGGAGTTTGCCCCGAATTCTCATATACAAAGCCACACTGAAGATGAACTCACAGTCCAAATTTAGATAAAAGCGTGTTCAATTCACAAGGTCTTTCGTCTTAGACTTTTGACAGGTGCCCCCAAGGCTGAGAACATCCCATGTTATAGCACCTACGAAGAACAAGTGAAACGTATGAAGCCGAGTTTTAAATTGCCCTCTGAGTGTGCAAAGGAAGGCTTGAATGTAGATAAGGAGAAATTCTAGAGTCAGAGAGTTGTAGATGAGCTAAGGGTTTCCTCTCCTCTCAACCAAATGAGGTTGAGGGTAGGGTTCAAATATATAAGCACTTGGAGAGTTTTCTCATGTGATCTGTAATTTAGGAGATGTAGGAATGTCCTAATTTATGCTTGGTATCTGATTTATGCTTGGAAACTTAGAATGGCAAGAGGCTGGTCAGATGCTCTGAGGCAAAGAGAAAATAGTGGTTACAGTGGGAGAAGGTACATATACACGGAGTGGGGTGGGGATAAAGATGAATGTTCTTGTGGGCCAGATGTGGATCATGCGGTGAGGAAAATCTGAGGAAGGGTTTTGCCTGGAAGGGTGGAGTAATTCCAGCAGGAAGATTTTGAGTATAGAATCTAGACACCAAGGGTCTAGGGTTCTCCTGAGCGGCCTCTAGAGAAGGGTTGCTTGGTGTACCAATATGCAGATATATGTTGTCAGAAGTGGAATCTCTGAGAATGCCAGAGAGTATTTCAGGAGAGAGAGAAAAGGCACACTCCACCATCTGCCCCAGCTAGAAGGCACCAATGCCCTATCACTATTGCACCAGTCAAGTAGGCCTCCTCAGCAAACTTCGGACCCTAGGTTCACAGAACTGGGTGACTATAATCTTTGACCCATGACAGAAACATCATTAGTCTTTGTGTGGCCTAGTTGTATATTTATTTTTAATAATGTAATAGAAATCGAAAGCTAGGACCCTGGAAGCACTCGTAAGTCTAAAGATGCGATATCCCCATTATCTTCTGGCTCCAACTGAAAGCAGGTATCATTCTGAATCCCGTGTTCAGCAATCCCTTGCATTCTTTTTCTTTGGAAAAAGTTTATTGAGTTATAAGAAACGTACAGAAAAGTGCACAAATCTTAAGTATGTAGCTAATTAAATTGAAATTGTTCTCTAAAAACTCTAATATATGGAGAATGAGTGTGATGAAATGACGGAATCAGACTTCAGAAAAACAAAACTCTAATATACTGGATACAATTCTGATAGGAAGGGACAGAACAAACAAACAGTAACAGGGATTAAAAGGGAACAAAACTATAGATCCAGTGGATATTTTTAAAAAGAACATCCATGAACAACTTTGTGACAATATGTTTAAAATATGAAATAGACAATGATCTATAAAAATTAAAAAAACAAGCTTAAGAAGAAACAGAAAAAATTTGAGTAGATCTAAAACTACCAGAAAAATTGAGGCTGGGCACAGTGGCCCATATCTGTAATGCCAGCACTTTGGTAGGCTAAGGCAGGAGAATCACTTGAGGTCAGGAGTTCAAGACCAGCCTAGCCAACATGGTGAAACCTTGTCTCTACTGAAAAGAGAAAAGTTAGCCGGTTTGGTGGCATGTGCCTGTAGTCCCAGCTACTCGGGAGGCTAAGGCAGGAGAATCATTTGAATCTGGGAGACAGAGTTTGTAGTGAGCTGAGATCGCGCCACTGCACTCCAGCCTGGGCAACAGAGAAAGGCTCTGTCTCAAAAAAAAAAAAAAAAAAAAAGGAAAGAAAGAAAAAAAGGAAAAAAAATTCTAAAAGAATTGAATCAGTAGTTAAGAATTTAATATCCAGCTCCTCCAGACAAATAAACACAAGCAAAACCAAAATGCTTATGATACAGTCTGAATTTTTGTGTCTTTCTAAAATTCACATGTTGAAACCTAATTTTCAAGGTGACGTTGTTAAGAGGTGGAGCCTTCAGAGGTGATGAGGTCGTGAGCGCTCCGCTATCAAGAATGGGATTGATGCCCCTTTAAAGGCATTGAGGGAGCCTGTTTGTCCCTCCCACCCTTCCTGCATGTGAAGATGCATCATCTTTGAAGCAGAGAGTGAGCCCTCACACTGAACCTGCCAGTGCCTTCATCTTGGACCTTCCAACCTCTAGAACTAGACGAAATCAGTTTATGTTGTTTATTTACTACCCAGTCTAAGCTATTTTGTTACAGCAGCCTAAATGGACTAAGGCACCCCACCAGACCCAGGGGATTTTACAGATGACTGCTGGCAAACACGGAACGTATAATCCTGTTGTTATACACACTTTTTCTGTGACACGGATTGTCCATATTGGAAATTGCCTTGCTTTGTGGACAAGATTGAGCCATGGTTGCAAGAACTTAGACATGGCCTACTTAAATTCTCAACCCTTCAAAAATAATATTGTGGGCTCTTGGAGATCTGTAACTGAATTTTTGGCTTCTTAAGCATTTTCATAAACGAGTGGTCGAGCCACAGTTTTAGTTCTTAAAAATAAGTACTGGCTACCTCACAGGAGCATTTCTTTTTTCTTTTCTTCTTTTTTTTGGTTTGAAAAGAGCAAGTGTTCCAGATAAATGTGTCCTTTGTTAACCAACTTTACTAATCAATTCATACCACTGGTTTTAGAGCAAAATATTTACAAACTGCATAGAAATGACCAGAATCAGTCATGTGGCCTAAGTGTGTCATATTAGTCCCTTCCTTGGTAGTTACAGTGTTTAATGACCAGAATCAGTCATGTGGCCTAAGTGTGTCATATTAGTCCCTTCCTTGGTAGTTACAGTGTTTAATGACCAGAATCAGTCATGTGGCCTAAGTGTGTCATATTAGTCCCTTCCTTGGTAGTTACAGTGTTTTGAGAGAGACAACTCAGTCTAAGTGATAAATAAATCTACGTTTGAATGAGACCTGCTATAGTAGGATTCTACTGTGTTTTTTTTCAGAATTTAGATTTTGCCTAATTATTGTATTTCATTTTTTGGCATTTCCTTACTATCCAGCTTCACAGCTCAAGTAATATGGACCTGATTACTTAGCGGTTGTGGATTGTTAACTTTGTTTATGGGTCATTGCTCTGACAGATATTTTGTAATGTCTTGTAAGGGCTAACATGCAAAGAGTGCCCTACTTTGGCTAAAATAGTCTTGGTGCTATAATTCTTCACTCAATCAGTCTTTCAGATGTCTGTTCATTCATCAAACACTTATTTTTGTCTTCTGTGTATCAGGCACTGTTAGGTGCTGTAGACACAAAGCTTTGGCCTTGAATACCTCTCAGTCTAGAAGGAGATGTGAACATGCTCCTAGATTTATTACAGCCGACTAGGATCCGTGCTATTATGGAGCTAAGAAGAAAGGGTCAAAGCCGGGAGGAATTAATTCTGCTTCACTGGGGAGGTGAGGTTTGAGCTATATTTTGAAGGATGATAAAGAAGAGGCTTGAACAGTGGAATTAACAAATGCAAAAAAAAAAAAGAATTTCTTAAATTATCTAGGAATTGGTTATAAGTTCAGTATGGTAGGCGTAGTGTACAAAGGGGAGTTTTGGGAGATGAAGTCAGAAAGATATTTTGAAGACTGAATTAGTTATCTATTGCTGTGGAACAAATTACCTCAAAACTTAGTGGCTTAAGAACAATGAATTATTTCATTGTTTTGGTGGGTCAGGAATTTGAGACCAGCTTAGCTGAGTGTTTTGGTTTGGAAGTTGCAGTTAAGATACCAGCTGGGGCTGAAGTCACCTTAAGGTGTCAATGGGGCTGGAGGATCTGCTTCAAAGTGACTCACTCACATGCCTGGCATGTTTATTGCTGTTCTGTTGGCAGAAGACTCCAGTTTCTCATCTCAGGGACCATTCCAGAGGGCTGCTGAGGAGTCCTCATGACATGGCAGCTGGCTTCCCCCAGAGTAAGTGATCCTAGAGAGCATAAGGCAGAAGCCATGTCTTTTATAACTTGATTTTGGAAGTCACACACTTCCATGTCTACAATATCCTATTGGTTACATGGGTCAGCCTTATAATATGGGAATACCAGAAGGCAAGAAGCGTTTGGGGGTCACTGTGGAAACCTGCTACCACAGAGCATATGGTGAAGTACCCTGTGTGTAAGTCTCGGGTGTTTGGATTTTCAAAAGCAATCATGAGGAAGCCAATGGAGTTCGTTACTTAAAATAACATGTATGAACTAATTTACGCTTCCACCAATAGTGTAAAAGCGTTCCTATTTCCTGTGTGGCAATTCCTCAAGGATCAAGAAATAGAAATACCATTGACCCAGCAATCCCATTTATAATCCCAAGGGATTATAAATCATTCTATTATAAAGACACACACACACGTATGTTCATTGTGGCACTGTTTACAACAGCAAAGATCTGGAACCAACCCAAATGCCATCAATGATAGACTGGATAAAGAAAATGTGGCACATATACACCATGGAATACTATGCAGCCATAAAAAACAATGAGTTCATGTCCTTTGCAGGGATATGGATGAAGCTGGAAACCATCATTCTCAGCAAACCGACACAAGAACAGAAAAACCAAACAACGCATATTTTCACTCATAAGTGGGTGTTGAACAATGAGAACACATGGACACGGGGAGGGGAATATCACACACTGGGGCCTGTTGGGGGGTGGGGAGCTAGAGGAGGAATAGCAGGGGGTGGGGGGACTGGGGAGGGATAACATTAGGAGAAATACCTAATGTAGGTGGTGCGGGGATGGAGGCAGCAAACCACCATGGCATGTGTATACCTGTGTAGCAATCCTCCACAATCTGCACATGTACCCGAGAACTTAAAGTAAAAACAAAAATAATATGTACAGAAGCAATATATGTTCAATGTAGACAATTTGGAAACTATACAAAAACACAAAGAAAAAATTACCCATAATCTTATCATGCAGAGAAGATCACTGTTAGCATTTTAATTTATTCTCTTTCAGTTTTCTCCTGTTAATAAGGCTTTTGTACTTTTTCACTTTGTACTATAATGCAAGCAGTAAAAAAAATGGAGCTTTTTTTTTTTTTTGAGATGGAGTCTTACTCTGTTGCCCAGCTGGAGTGCAGTGGCGTAATCTCGGCAACCTCTGTCTCCTGGGTTCAAGCGATTCTCTTGCCTCAGCCTTCTGAGTAGCTGGAATTACAGGCACCCATCAGTAAGCCTGGCTAATTTTTATATTTTTAGTAGAGACAGGGTTTCACCATATTGGCCAGGCTGGTCTTGAACTCCTGACCTCAGGCAATTCACCCTCCTCAGCCCCCCAAAGCCCTGGTATTACGGGTGTGAGCCACTGCACCTGGTCCAACAATGGAGCTTTTTAAGCAGAGTAGTTTAAGCTAAACTGGGATCTTAAGAAAGTTGTGACAGTGACCAGTGAAAAGTCTGAGAGATAATGACAAAGAAATGGTAATAGAGATAAAAGTGTTGGAGAAATTCTGAGCTGGAATTAATAAAATTAGTTGACTAATTAGATGTTCAGTGTATGGAAGGGAGATATTAAGGGCAACTCTAAGATTTCTGGAGCACTAACAACATTTGTAGTTGGCAGTATGGGAACGTGAAGGGTAGCTAGCGGTCTGCCTTTGAAATGTGTTGTTGGAGGTGCCTGCTGGACATAGGGTCACTCTACCTGTGTCTCATAGAGAAGAAGGCAGTGAAGAGGAAGAAATGGAAGACACAGAGAAAGAGGTAAGTGAGGTGTTAGAGGAGGCACGAAGGAAGGGGATCTAGGGCACACGGTACAAGCTAGCCTGGGAGGGCAGAAGGGAGAAAGCTCCAACATTATCTAGTATCTGCCATGTGCCAGGCACTGAGGATATGTTCTTTCATTTAATTCCTACAAATAAATATACAGTGCGAAGGTGCTATTAGCCTCATGTAATTGGTATGGAAATCAGGCTCAGAATCATTCAATGATTAAGTCACAGACCTGTAATTGCAATCCAGCTCTTCTTGGAGAGTATAATAAGGAGTCTGACTCCATTTGTGACTGCTGATAGGTTTTTTTGTTTTGTTTTCAGGATCTCACTCTGCTGCCCAGGCTGGAGTACAGTGGCACAATCTTAGCTCACTGCAGCCTTGACCTTTCAGGCTCAGGTGATTTTCCTACTTCAGTCTCCAGAGTAGCTGGGACTATAGGTATGTGCCATCACACCTGGTTAATTAAAAATTTTTTTTTGTCGAGACAGGGTCTTGCCACATATTCCAGGCTGATCTCGAACTCTTGGGCTCAAGTGATTCTCCTGTCTTGGCCTCCCAAAGTGCTGGGATTATAGGCATGAGCCCCTGCACCTGGCCTGCTGGCAGCTTTTAAGCCCTCCCACCCTTCCTTCCCATTCTGCTCCACATCTGGGCAAGCTGGTAAGAAAGCATGGGCGCTGCCTTCTTTGGTGCTGATGGGAAGTTAAAACCACATAAGCCCCAGCCAATTCAGGAGAGCCCTCATCCCGGGCTCAGCTGCCAATCACAACGGAAGCCAAGCCTATCTCCTTTCCCTGCCCTCTCAAGCCAGTTTCAGACCTTCTTGGAAGCTGGACCCGCTCTGCCCAGAAAGCCTCATTTTGTGAGTAATCAATCTTTTCATACTCTTGGTGAGTGCATGTCAGCCTTATTGTCGATACTTAAAGCAGATTTGGGGTAGGAGGGTCTATGTTCTTCTGTGGGGCAACCACAACAGTTGGTCCTGTGAGCAGGCTGTCGAAGAGATGACCACCTCCACCACCAGACGCCTTCCTCCTCTTCCGGCAGCTGAGAGGCACACCTTTTCTTCCTCTGAGACACAAGCTGAGGAGGGAAAGATGGACATAGTAATACACAAACTAAAAAATGTGATGATGTAAGAGACAGCGTTGTTGGAGACAAAGGGGACAGTGGTGGTCTGGTGGGCTTAGGCAAGGTGGTGAGGCTTATATACTCACTGGGGGAGAGGCCAAAGATAATTGGCTCAGAAGAAATTAGAAGACTGCTGGATGGCCCTGTGGGTCACCTGCACAGTCATGGTGGCTCTAATTTGCATGAATTACATAATTTTTATCTAACAGTGCACTGCATCTTGGGAAAAATCTTCAGATAATTTTGGGATATTCATAAGCCCCCTGAACTCCAACTAGGGGAATCAAGATCCCTAGTTTTAACCCTGATCCCCTTAACTAGGGGATCATCCTTAACTAGGGGATCAGGGTTAAAAGCTTCTCTGCCTGAATGGTCTCAATGAAGATGGACAGGCTTGGTTGGAAGAAGGTGATGGTAGAAGGAGGTGATTATAATTGAGGCATGAGGCTTTAAATTTTGCAGACAGAGGAGCCATCTCGAGGTATGGCCATTTCTTTTGAGTCAATTCTCTTTGGCTGCTCCCCCAGCAAGTATATAAGCCTCGCCATCCTGCCATAGCCCACCAGACCACTACGCTTCTCTTTCCCTCCAACAACCCTGTCTCTTGCACTACTGCCTCTTTACATTTGTGTATTTATTTTTATTTATTTTTTATATATTGCATTTTAGGTTTTGGGGTACATGTGAAGAACATGCAAGGTTGTTGTATAGGTACATACATGGCAGTGTGATTTGCTGCCTGCTTCCCCATCACCTATTTCTGGCATTTCTCCCCATGCTATCTCTCCCCAACTCCCCACCCCCTGCTGTCCCTCCCCTATTTCCCTCCGACAGACCCCAGTGTGTGATGCTCCCCTCCCTGTGTCCTCATTGTTCAACACCCACCTATGAGTGAGAACATGCAGTGTTTGATTTTCTGTTCCTGTGTCAGTTTGCTGAGAATGATCGTTTCCAGGTTCATCCATGTCCTTACAAAGGACATGAACTCATCGTTTTTGATTGCTGCATAGTATTCCATGGTGTATATGTGCCACATTTTCCCTGTCCAATCTATCATCGATGGGCATTTGGGTTGGTTCCAGGTCTTTGCTATTGCAAACAGTGCTGCAATGAACATTCGTGTGCATGTGCCCTTAGAGTAGAACGATTTATAATCCTTTGGATATATACCCAGTAACGGGATTGCTGGGTCAAATGGAATTTCTATTTCTAGGTCCTTGAGGAATTGCCACACTGTCTTCCACAATGGTTGAACTAATTTACACTCCCACCAACACTGTAAAAGTTTTCCTATTTCTCCACATCCTCTCCAGCATCTGTTGTCTCCAGATTTTTTAATGATGGCCATTCTAACTGGCATGAGATGGTATCTCAATGTAGTTTCGATTTGCATTTCTCTAATGACCAGTGACGATGAGCATTTTTTCATATGTTTGTTGGCTTCATTTATGTCTTCTTTTGTAAAGTGTCTGTTTATATCCTTTGCCCACATTTGTGTATTAATGGAAATAAAGGATGAACTGTAGAGATTAAAGATTTGTGTATTAATGTGCCTCCACAGCTCAGAGGAAGAAATACTGTGCCTCTTTATTGCAGGAAGAGAAGGAAGTACCCAGCACCGCAGAAGTCAAGTGTTAGCTGACCCAATACTCACATGGTAAAGACAGGCAATGGCAAAAATTGGAATGGAAATAAAGGAGATCCAAATCCTCTATGACAGCCAGGAGGTAATGGTGAGATGGAGCAGTGGTGAGAACCGCTGAATGCCACAGCCCTCAAAAGAAGAAAAAAGGGCTTTTGAATGAGGAAAACTGCTGCATGGACAAGAGACAGTCTGGCCACATGAGGAGGTTAATCCTTGAGTATCCTTCTCTTGGAATTTTCTCTGAGAAAATCCCAGTTTTGCTTAAAGGAAGGTGCATTAGTTTCTTAGGGCTGCTATAATAACATACCACAAACTCAGTGGCTTCAAACAAGAGAAATGTATTATTTCCCAGTTCTGGAAGCTGAAAGTTTGAGATTAAGGTATTGGCGGAGCCATGTTTGCTCTGAAGGCTCTAGGGAAGAACCTTTCCTTGTCATGTCCTGGCTTCTGGTGATGGTCGGCAATCCTTGCTTTCCCTGGCTTGAAGCTGCACCACTAAAATCTCTGCCTCCACTCTCTTCCCTGTGTCCCCTCTGTGTCTTCAAATCTCTCCTTGAAAGGACACTAGCCGTTGGATTTAAGGCCACCCTAATGCAGTATGACCTCATCTGAACTTGATTACATCTGCAAAGGCCCTATTTCCAAATTCAGTTACATTCAAAGAGATGGGGGTGAGGATGTCAAAATATCTTTTTGGGAAACATAATTCAACCTATAGCAGAAAGGAATAGAAGCAACGTTGCATGATGAGGTTGAAGGAGAGGTGAGTTATTTATAATTGAGTGATGACTTCATAGAATTAAACAGAAAGAATTAGACATGGGTTAGTAAGAGATGACTCAAAAAGCAGGAAGCTTGGAAGAGACAGTTGTAGCATTGATGCTTATAAAGCAGAGATCTGAAAGTTGAATGGTCCCAGGCAAAAGCCAGATGATGTCCATGAGTGAAGCATCCTGCATGGGGTGTGTAGTGAGTCGACGGCTCAGCATGTGCTCAATCTGAAAGCAGCCACTGCTCAGCTCAGCGGGTTGCTGTCACAAGAGAATAGACCCCATGTTGTCACATTTTCCAAAAATAAGCAGTACACTCAGATTACGTGGTATCTCTTGAATTTAAAATGATGACAGCTAGTTACAAATGTTGATGAACTGTAGAGATTAAAAATCCTGATGCAGGCTGGAATTGTACCGTGAATGGTCAAGGATCATATAGCTAGGAAGGGCAGGGGATACAGGACAGGCATGCAGGACAAAAATGCAATGCACAGCTCAGGATTCTCATTGGCATGCTGCTGTTCTCCCTGGTCTCATGGAAAACTGTTAGGATGCAGAGTGTAAGCCCTGGTGGTTTCTGCTGAGGAGGCTGCTGGAAACAGATGGTCTTTTTTTTAGCTAGAGACTATTATGATTCCTCCCTTTAAAGAGCTTACTGTCCATTTGAGTGGAGAAAACGGCTGTATTTGAGATGGGAGGTTTCCCTGTAAATCACCTGTGTAGCCAGAGTTCCTCAGGTTGAGTGGGATTTAGGCGTGCAAAGGAGGTGGCCTCACTCGGGGTCCTCCAAGAAGAGAAAACAGCATGGAGACAAGCAGGGAGGTGGTGTGTGCAGAAAGAGTAAAGAGCCCACCTTGAATGCAGGATGTCAGGAGATCGTGGGAAGGTCTCTCAGTGTTGTCTGTTCTTTTTCTCCTCCTCCAGTTTCACTCTCTCCCTTGCTCTGGGTCTCGGGATGCTGACATCTATGGACCGAACCCACCAGTCTCCCTTGCCCTTTGGCATCTGCTTTAGTTCAGCCAATGGGAGGCACCAGCGAGAGATGAGAGGGCTGGAGGGAACTGATCAGGGTATTTACTTTCCAGGCACTTTTTTTCGGGGCTGTTGGTTGTCAGCAGGGGTCATGCTCCTGGTGGGCCTGGACAGCCTTTTCCTCAGCTTTAGGTCTTACTGGATTTCTATAAATACTTGTTGTTCTTGCCTTGTCAGGCCCGGGGGTGGTGGCAGCTCCCTGCTGTTTGTCAGTTGCTGGATGCTCCACCGTCCCTGAGTCACCTCAGTCCTGCCCTCTTCTTTGTGAATTGTCCCTTCATTCAACTCTCCTCCAGTATTCTGTTTGAGTGTGCCATTTATTTCCTGCTGAGGCCCTGAATTACATGTGCACAATAAATATGAACAAACAGGTATACCTTGAAGATATTACAGGTTTGGTTCCTGACCACTATAATAAAGTGAGTATTGCAATAAAGTGAGTCATTATTTCTTGGTTTCCCAGCGCAGATTAAAGTTATGCCTATACTATATTGTAGTCTGTTAAGTGTGCAATAGCATTATGTCTAAACAATGTACACATATTAATTAAAAATAATTTATTGGGCCGGGCGCTGTGGCTCAAGCCTGTAATCCCAGCACTTTGGGAGGCTGAGGCGGGTGGATCACGAGGCCAGGAGATCGAGAACATCCTGGTCAACATGGTGAAACCCCGTCTCTACTAAAAATACAAAAAAATTAGTTGGGCATGGTGGCGCGTGCCTGTAATCCCAGCTACTCAGTAGGCTGAGACAGGAGAATTGCCTGAACCCAGGAGGTGGAGGTTGTGGTGAGCTGAGATCGTGCCATTGCACTCCAGCCTGGGTAACAAGAGCGAAACTCCATCTCAAAAATAAATAAATAATTTATTGATAAAATATGCTACCTATCATCCAAGCCTTCAGTGAGTCATCATCTTTTTGCCGGTGGAGGGTCTTCACTCATGTTAATAGCTACTGACTCATCGGAATGATGGTTGCTGAAGGTTGGAGTGATCATGGCAATTTCTTAAAATAAGACAATAATAATATTTGCCATATCAATGGACTCTTTCTTTAAAAAAAATTCTCTATAGCATGCAATGCTGTTTGATAGCATTTTACGCATAGAACTTACAAATCTTTCAAAATTGCAGTCAGTCCTCTCAAGCCCTGCTGCTTTGTCAACTAAGCTTATGTAATATTCTAAATCCTGTCTTGTCATTTCAACAATGCTCATAGCATCTTCACCAAGGGTAGATCCTATCTCAAGAAACCACTTTCTTTGCTTGTCCATAGGAAGCAACTCTTCATCTGCTTACATTTTATCATGAAATTGCGGCAATCCAGTCACATCTTCAGGCTTCATTTCTAAGTCTAGTTCTATTGGTAATTTTACCACATGTGAAGTTACTCCCTCCACTAAAGTCTTGAACCTTTCAAGTCATCCTTGAGGGTTGGATCACCTTTTTCCAAACTCCTGTTAATGTTGATATTTTGACCAGTTCCTGTGAATCATGAATGTTCTTAATGGCATCTAGGATGGCAAATCATTTCTTTTAAATTTCCTTAAAACCTCTAGAAGGTTTTCAATTTATTTTGCCCATATCCATCCGAGGAATCACTATCTATGGCAGCTATAGCCTTTTGAAGTGTATTTCCTAAATAATAAGATTGAAAGTCAAAATTACTCCTTGATTCATGGGCTACAGAATGAAAGGTTTAGCAGGCATGAAAATATCAATCTCTTTGTATATCTCCATCAGAGCTCTTGGGAGACTAGGTGCATTGTCAAAGAGCAGTAATAGTTTGAAAGGACTACTTTTTTTTTTAGCAGCAGGTCTCAAGACTAGGCTTAAAATATTCAATAAACCGTGCTGTAAACAGATATACTGTTATGTTTCATTATAGAGCACAGGCAGAGTAAATTTAGCATCATTCTTAAGCACCTTAGGATTTTCAGGATGGTCACCTAGAATTAGCTTCAACTTAAAGCCGCCAGCTGCATTAGGCCCTAACAAGAGAGTCAGCGTGTCCTTTGCAGCATTGAAAGCAGGCATTGATTTCTCCTCTCTGGTTTTGAAAGTCCTAGATGACATATTTTTCCAATATAAGGCTATTTTGCCTACTTTGTAAATCTGTTGTTTAGTATAACCATGTTCACTAATGATCTTAGCTAGATCTTCTGGACAACTTGCTACATTAGCACTTGCTGCTCCACCTTGTACTTTTATGTTATGGAAATGGCTTCTTTCCTTAAATTTCATGAACCAGCCTCTGATATGTTCAAACTTTTCTTCTGTGGCTTCCTTGCATCTCTCGGTCTTTATATAATTGATGAGAGTTAGGGCCTTGCCCTGAGTTGGCTTAAGAGAATGTTGTGGCTGGCTGGTCTTGTATTCAAACCTCTAAATCTACCACCGTATCAACAATATAGCAGTTTCACTTTCTTATTTTTTTGTGTGTGTTCACTGGAGTAGCACTTTCAATTTCCTCAAAAACTTTTCCTTTCCGTTAATAACTTAGCTGGTTGGCACAAGAGGCCTAGCTTTCAACAAGTTTTCCTCACCAAGCTTAACCAGTTTTACTTTTGATTTAAAGTGTGACTCTTCCTTTCATGTGAACACCTAGAGGCCACTGTGGGATGATTCGCTGGCCTACTTTCAATGCTGTTATGTCTCAGGGAATAGGAAGGCCAGAGGAGAGGCAGAGAGATGGAAGAATGATTGGTCTGCAGAGCGGTCCTAACATACAGTTTATTAAGTTTTACCTTTTCTATGGACACAATTCCTGGCATCCCAAAACAATTAAAATAGTAACATCAAAGATCACTCCTCACAGGCCACTATAATAGATACAAGAATAATAAACAGTTTGAAATATTGCGAGTGTTTCCAAAACATGGCACAGAGACAGGAAGTAAACACGTGCTATTGGAAAAATTGCACTGATGGATTTGCTGTATGTAGGATTGACACGAAACATCAATTTATAAAAAATGCAGTATCTGGCTGGCCAGGTATGGTGGTTCATGCCTGTAATCCCAGCCTTTGGGAGGCCGAGGTGGGCGGGTTACCTGAGGTCAGGTGTTAGAGACCAGCCTGGCCAACATGGTAAAACCCCGTCTCTGCTAAAAATCAAATATAAACAATTAGCCAGGTGTGGTGGCACATGGCTGTAATTCCAGCTACTTAGGTGGCTGAGACAGGAGAATTGCTTGAACCCGGGAGGCAGAGGTTGTGGTGAGCCAAGATTGTGCCGTTGCACTTCATCCTGGGCAACAAGAGAGAAACTCTGTCTCAAAAAAAAAAAAAAAAAAAAAAAAAAAAAAAAAAGCAGTATCTGTGAAGTGCAAAACAGCGAAGCACAATAAAATGCATATCTAATATACACAGATACACCTACATGTGTAGGCATATCTCCAGGCATATATACAGTACGATTATATTAGACATTGTAACAACAACCAACATCTTTGAGGAGCTTCCACATAGTTTCTTTGGGAGTCCCAAAAGATAGGATTTGGGGATCCCTCCCATCTGATGCCAAAGAATCCCACCTGATTCTTTTTGTCATCATCCTAAGTAACAGGAAAATCTCCTAGAATTCTGCCCCTTGGTCTGTGCCTTTGCTCTCTACGTCCCTGGCCGTGAGCTTCCCACAGGGGTCTTTTTGTGATAGGTTTCTCACACTCAGTCACTTAGAATGCAAAAACATAGTCTAAGAAGATACTGGGGTAAAGAATAAAAGGTACAAAGTATAATCTGGCAAAATCGACCCCAGTGAATACGGCACTCACATCTCCAACAATGTGTGCAATTTTACATTTGATTCATGTTTATTACGTTCACCAGATGAAAACCAGGGCTGTTTTCTTCCCTGTTTTCATCTTCAAGGAATCAAAGTCTTGCCCCTAAATTTATCTCTGGTTCCAAATAAAAGCTGTGGTTTCAACAGCCCTCTGAGCATTCAGACTCCTGCCTCCTGGAATTTCTTCCTGGTCACTAAGTTTCTGTTGAGTTAGGGGCTATTACCTTGGTGCCCATACAGCAACCAGAGCCTTCTTGATTCTCCTCGTGTACCCCTCTAGCCCTTTAGTTATTTCTCTCTTACTTTCTTCTTCCTCTTCCTCTCTCCTCCTTCTTCTTGTTCCTCTTCCTCCATCGTCGTCTTCTTCTTCTCTGTCTCCTTCCCCTTCTCCTTTTCTCCTTCTCTTCTCTTCCTCCTCTTTCTTCTTCTTCTTCCTCTTCTTTCATCATCTTTTTTTTTGGATTTGCTTTCTGACTTCAATTCCACCAGAGCTCAAGATTTTCTCTTGAAATCACAATCTATTTTCTCCTCTTTTTCTTCAAGATTCTAAAAATGGGTTTCTTTCCGTTTTCAACATAGTCCTGCCTGGTCAGGACCAGCCTCCAAATCAGTGTGACTGTCCCCAGCGTATCCAGGAATTATGGGGCATTTCTAAGTCTCACTGCTTCGTTAATTCAAAGAGTGGCAGACAAATGAGAAGATCTGCAACCTACATTGCATTTCCAGGACCTTGACCTCAGTCAGGTTGGCTCTTCTTAAATTAAAAAGGAAAACTGGATTTTGTAAGTGGGAGTTGTTTTGGTCCATAAGTAAGTGTGATGTGACTTCTATAAAGTCAATTATCTTCTTTGGGCATCAATTTCCCTGTTCATAAAATGCAGACAAACAGAGAAGTATTTTTTAGCAATTTACATTCTTGTTGAACAAGATCTTTTTTTTTTTTTTTTGAGATGGAGTTTCGCTCTTTTCACCCAGGCTGGAGTGCAATGGTGTGATCTCGGCTCACCACAACCTCCGCCTCCTGGGTTCAGGCAATCCTCCTGCCTCAGCCTCCTGAATAGCTGGGATTACAGGCATGAGCCACTATGCCCACCTAATTTTTGGTATTTTTAGTAGAGACGGGTTTCACCATGTTGACCAGGATGGTCTCGATCTCTTGACCTTGTGATCCGCCTGCCTCGGCCTCCCAAAGTGCTGGGATTACAGGCTTGAGCCACCGCACCTGGCCGACCAAGATCTTATATGTAAAACAGTCCTATGCTTTTACAGTTCACATTTTAACATTTACATATTGTAAAGTCAGTCACTGAAAATAATGAATTCTTTTTTAATAGACAAATTTAAATTGGGAGAGGTAGTAGTGGAGAATGAGTGACGGATGGAGGCTCAGAGAAGCCTCACTGTTAGCAAATTTAAATCTGGGACTGAGAGGGCACCGAGCACTCCTCACCAAATCCTAGAGTTCTGAGAACACAGTTTGCTCACCACTGGGCTGGCTGATGTCTGAGACCTTGCTACCCAGAATGTGATAGGCAC